TTGATTACGTATTCAGAAAACCAAAATGAGCATGACTGGCTTTGATGTTAACTCTTTAATTTGTTCTTTTGTACAATATCAGTTTCCAGCATATAACTTGACTTACGAACAGCAAAGTGATGAAATGAAATAATTCTTAACCTTTACGTGTATGTCTTCATTCAGAAAATGGAAGGGAAAAAAAGCAAGTATATTTTTCCATTAGACCAAATTGGTATTTGAGTTCAATTATTGAATTTTCAGATTGTTACTTTTGTCAATTTCAGTAGCCTCTCATGTACCGAATAGACCACATGTAATGACTCTCCACATTAGTTAGAGGCAAAATTGTCTAAATAATGGCCACTTCCACTTCTGTTTACATCGTTGTAATTCATTTCAGACACATATGGCAATTGTATGTGTGTAGTAAACATATAATGGGATTCCCCAAGTTCGATCAATGATCAGCTTATCAATTGTCATCTTGGAGTGAACAACATGTCTTAGCTAGGGCTGTGGCATCAGCTTTAGCCTTAAGTGCATGCAATTAACCAACTGGTCCTTGTCTAGTTTGTCAAAGGAAATCGTTTTAGAATACTCCCTAGTTTAGTTAGAGGTGTTAGGTTCGAGTCCCTTAAGTTAGAGGTGTGTTAGCCTTAAGTTTATCTTTTTTAGTTAGAGGTGTTAGCCTTAAGTTTATCTTTTTTTCAGTGCTCGTTCTCTGACCTTTGGTTATAGTTTAAAAGAATAATTATATTGATTAGAGGGGAGCCCTACTCCATTTGTGTGCGGCAAAGGCAAATGAATGGTGTATTCTTAGTATAAAAAAAAAAAAAAAAAAAAAAAGTGCATGCAATTATAAAAATTAGTTAATATCGTAACACAGTTAATATATACAAATCATCTTAAAAGAAAATAATTACGTATTTACATCCTATTTTCTTGTAATCTATGGTTGTCTCGTTGATCCCCATGAGCTCGCACCCTAACCACAAAACAAACGCAAACACAAACTAATTTTCTGGTTCTAATTGTTTTGGATCAAGTATTGTGACTTGTAAGACATTAGGGAAAATATACAATCTACTACAAATGATCAACACGTAATCAACAGAGAGTTCTCACGTTTCCAAAAGGATAGAGTTGGCAACTTGCATATTTACATAGTAGCGTTCTCGTTTTCATAAGAAGGATGTTATGTGGATCTGACCCCTTGCAGCTAATTGGTGGAAACTGGAATCTTTCGTTGGATTCAGGGAAGTTTAGTTTGAAGTTACTGAACTGAACTCAATGAAGAAATGGACAAATGCATTAATAGTACAACAATAGAACTCTCTCCTTCTTTCCCAACGCAATAACGCATTGATAAGTTTGGAAATCACTGACAAACACTTAATTCATGCATTAAAATATCTGGCCAACTTAATTATCATTAGAGGGTCCAAATTGTAACATAATAAAATATTCGTTGGGAGAATTTGTCTCCCAACAATGACCTGCTCGATCGATTTCGGTTTCAATCGAATTGTAATTTGAATATTGGACGAGAAGCCAAAATATGAGAATAAAGGTGTGGCAGACAAAAGGGAGGCACAAGTTGACCCTTGGAAATTGACACGTCGGCTAAATGGAAGCTGACGTGTCGTCACCATAGTTCTTTCCGGTAGGGGTCGTGAGTATGGGAAGTTATTTTATATGTTTGTCATTCGTTTTCCATCTAATTCAATCGCCCTTTTACTGTAGGATGGATGAGATTTGGATTAGATCGAATTCTAAGGTTAACTTGAAAATTTTCGTTCTTCTTATGAGGATTCATGATGGGGAAGTTGAAAGGGAGTGAATGAGCAGTAACACCAATACTTAGATGGCATCCCTATATTGGAGAGTCAAATGATGTCAATGAAAGTTTCCACTACCGTGTGATTGAAAGGTGACAAATCATTTTTAACTATAACAGTCTAATGATTAGGATGTTATATGTCATATAAACGTCTAAATTTTATTTATTGAACAGTTGATATGCTGGATTTTTCCACATTTATGTGGAGTTTACTGGATGTGATTTTTTTTACGAAAAAGAAAATTATGATAAGCATTTTTTAATCTTATTATCCTATACATAGAGAGCTATACAAATTTTGACCAACTATTTCATTAATTGAGACACCTAAAAATAAGCTAAAATAGATTAGTCAATATTATATATGCTTATACAATATATGAAAAATTAAAAGAAAAATTTACAATAACTAACCGTTTGACAACATGCATGCAGTGGGAATTTTATTTTTCCTTCTTTACCTTTATTTTTTTAAGCCGCACCTAATGGTGCTTTGGAGGTACCTAAACTATTACAATAGGAGTAGAGCCTACTAGGGAAAGAAATAGTACTACTAGGGGAAAGCTCCACTCGTGTGCGTCTCTTGCTCGACGTTCCGGTCATCCATGGCCGATGATGGCAGGCCTCCTGCCAGCTTAAGCTGGTTGTTGGTCAGCTACCTTTTTCCTCCTTCAACTGCCTTCTTCCCGCGTCCACAGTAGAAATCGAACCCTCAATTTCGCGGTTAAAGGTATAATGCCCTAACTACTTGGGCACGACTCGATTCCTCTTCACTTTTTGTTGTTCGAAGTTGATTCATTCCTCTTTCGTTGTTATATAGGTGCATATAAAAAAAATATATTTTCCTTCTTGAAAATGATTTTTTCATGATTTGGATGGAATAGATAGAATGTTTTAAAGGAAGATATCTTGTATCATCAACTTACATGTAAGTTGTATTATATTACTCAAAAAAGTTTTTTAAGAAACTTAAAAAATTGAACCTTTAATGATAAGCTAGAAATCTTATCTTGGTGATAATGTGTCGATTTATTTCTTGGCTTTTGCTTCTCATTTTCTAACCCCCAAAAAAAAAAAAAAAGAAGAAGAAGAATTTAGACATTAAGTCAATCTTAAGCTAATAGTAGGTAATTAATTGGTGGACATACGCTAAATCTTTTACCAAGTCTTTGGTTGCTAAGTAAATTCATCCGGATAAATCGTCGGACATACATGGCGAAAGGTGAAAGGTGAACCATGAATACGGTTAAGGAGGTCTCCGGCCGACCGGGGCGAGCCCCTAAAGGGTTCCGTCACTGTACTCTAATAACATCCCTCGTACTTATGGAAGAAATACATGAATTCTCAATTGTTTTAGATCATTATATAATACTCTTTCAGGCTGAAAAAATATTGTCCAATATAGATTTTTACTTTTAATTCAATTATACTAAAATAAAAATCTAAACGTGACAATAATTTCAGGACGGGGAATATAAAAAAAAACTCCCATGTGGTTGTTGCATCTCATACATGATTTGTTTTTTTTGTCTGTTCCCTTTTCCAATGTAGAACACAAGTATATGCACATTTTCGGTACTCTTTAAGATATGGAATTGTACGTTATTTTTTTTGGAATTGTGCGTTAGTAAGTGTGAATTAGGTCGTTCTAAATCTACTTAGCCAATGTGAGAACAGTCTGTCCATTTAACCGAATATCCATGGGCCTCATACATGCTTTATAACTTTTGAACCAAGAAACTTGTTATCCTCATTTTGGCCCAAATATTGGACAAAGAGTCTGGACATTACTCATGTGACTTTCTCTTTAAAATATAGTTTTAGTCCAAATACAAATAGGCTGAAATTTAATTCTTCTTAAAGTGCTAGATTGATCTATTGACTATAGCCCATCAAATTTGAGTGATGAACTGATGATTTGATGAAATGTTATGAAAACTGAACAAAATTCCAATCAGCTAGCCCAACAAGAGCAGTATCTGTCTATCTGATTGAGAATCAAGCACTTCTTGCTAGCATATCTCACCAGCTAAATCCAACCTCCAAATTAATTGTTGGATTGTATCTTTTGTTGAGAATAGGATGAGATTTAGATATTTTATTTGGTTTAAGAATTAAGATGATTAGATTGGATCCATAACAAATTCGATTGGTTTCAACGTACAGAAAACATTGTTTGTCCATTCTATGACTGGATCAGTCTGTCAAGAGGTCCAATATAGGCTTTGTTTTCCAAACCACCATTTCTAACCATTAATAATACTAGATTGATCAGACGCGCTTCGCACCTATGCTGTATATAATAACGTTATACAAATTATATAAAGAAAAACATAGTAAGTTATATTGTTATCTAACACACTATCTTCAAGATGTATTAATAAATTTATCAGAAATTAAAAATAAAACATATATTCAACAAAATGTTATCACTAAAACTCGTCACTTGTGATTTCAATGATAATGACACATTTTATCCTGATTGTATAAAAAAAAAAAAGGGGTATGAATAGTAATAAATAAAATAAAATTAAGTTTCTGTACATATCACCCAAAAAAAAGGAACAACTAAAAAAAGAAGAAAAAAAAAACTAAATTCAAGAAGATAAACATGGAGATGAATAATGAAGGATGATTAATATGATAGATTTGAGAATGAGAGATAAAAGTAAAAAACTTGAAAGAAAAGGGAAAAAAGGGGAAAAGATAAAGAAGAGAAGTGACAAAAATTTGAACTCTTTAAAATTATATATAAGTTTTAGACTAAATGACTATTGATTTTCTTTTTAGTTATGGAACAATTTAAACTATCATTTAGGAATCTATTAAATTCAAAGAAAATAAGAGAAGAAGAAAAGATATTTTGGAATTCAGAATGATTAGAATCACCGAAACCGTTTTTAGACTGAGCAAATTCTGTAATAATGAGAAATAATTTTTTTTTTTTTTTGCAATTTTAAAAATGAAATTAAAGGTTACAATCACTAAAACTTTTTTATACAGATCAAATTCACCTAATAATGATTTTTTTTGTAATCTTAAAGATAAAAGTTAATGGAGGGGTAGATCAAAGGTTCGCTATAAATTTTTTCTGATAAAGGACAATTTATTATCATAAACTTAGACATAAGGAAGTACTTTATTAGTATAAATTTAAATACAATGGACAATAAGTGAGATAATAATGAAATAAATTAAAAAAAATGTAAATGCTTTTTGTCCAAATTAGATGAGAGACAACAAAAATAAATAAATAAATAAATAAACTAAACAAAAAATTAAATAAGGAACTACCAACCTTTTAAGGTTATTCTGCAATTATAATATAGTATGAAGATAAATTTTCTTTTGTGAAAATGAAATTGTCAAGTTATGTGGGAACATGGTCCTAACCTCGTTGGTAAAAAGCGAAATGGGTCTATAAGTGTGTAAGGAATGAATCTCATATGAAATGAGGTGACGGTAATTATTGATTAATGCAATTGGAAGTAGTAAACACATAAATCTCATGATTAGAGTAATCCAAATTCCAGATTACACAGACAACTGTGAAAAACATTGAACCAAGAGTTATGAATACAATTAAAGATATGAAGTAATGAATACAACCCTATGCTCCCAAGCAGTTTCTCTCTGGAATTTTTGTACAAATTTAAAATTTCGTATCATCCAAATAACATCATTAATTAATACAACCTATTTGTAGTCTAATTAGTTACACGCAATTTCGGCAGCAAGCCTAGCTCTAAGGTCTTTTCTCAATATTTTGCCAGATGGGGCTTTCGGAATTGCATTCACGAAGAACACCTTGTGGATTTTCTTGTAGTAGATTACCTGTACCAAATTCACAATTCATGTCAATATCATCAAAATTTAAAAGCTGCAAATGCGGCACATCATCCAGAAACCACAAAAATACATTAATCAGTCATTCAAGAAAGCTTTCAAATCATAGGGGTCACATAATTTATGTGTCTCAGTTCTTTAAAATCAACCTTTTTTTATATTTCTCTTAATAAAACAAATGAGAATCATATTTTGAGACGAAATAAATAAATAAATTGCATTATGTTATTATTACTACAAAAATTACCTGGCTCGAAATGTATTTTTTAATGTCATCCTCCGAAATCTTGGAACCGTTAGATGTCACTACAAATGCCACGGGTACTTCTCCGGCAACCTCGTCTTTCATGCTGTTGTAATAAAAAAATGAAGGCAAAATTTAGAAAAAGCTGAAGACAATTCTATTTAAAATATTTTGTAAATTACAAAAATTGCTATAAAAACAATATACTAATAATAATAACTTACGGGACCACGGCCGCATCAGAAATACAAGGATGAGAGACAAGCATGGCTTCCAGCTCGGCAGGAGCCACTTGAAATCCTTTGTACTTAATCAACTCTTTCAATCGATCCACAATGAAGATTTCATCGTCGTCATCGATGTAGCCAATGTCTCCTGTGTGCAACCATCCATCTTCGTCGATGGTGTTCTTAGTAGCCTCCGGATCGTTTAGGTAACCTAATTTAATCACACGTGACATTGTTAAGATAAACCATTCCTCTATTTTTTTAAAATTACTGAAAAATCGTCTAGTAATAATTGATAATGTACCTTTCATGATCTGGTCGCCCCGGATACAAATTTCGCCTTTCTGATTGCGAGGGAGAGACAGATTGGTTTCGGGATCCACAATTTTCATTTCGGCATTCCTAACACAAGTTCCGCAAGCTCCTGATTTTACAGTAAATGGCTCCTTAGCGAATGCTAAGCACATCGATAACACCGGTCCAGCCTCAGTCATACCATAGCCCTGCAGTCCAAATCAATTAAGTTCCAATAAATATAATCGACCACACAAAGATAATGGAGAGGAAAGTTATTACATCCAGAAATTATGAAATTAGTTAGCTGGTCATGCAAACAAATTCGGTGATTGGGACAAATGTTTAAATGCAATCACATGATCCGGATACAGGTAGATTAATTACATAGATTTTTCCAGGCAGAAAGTCTCACAAATTGACTTGATTGCCTATGAGAGTATATAAAATTGGCATTTCTTATTTCTCCGAAAATGATTTCGGGACGAATGGCGTAATAAGTACTCCCTCTGTCCTATAATTATTGTCCACTTTACCCAAAAAATTTTGTCTCAAAATTATTGTCCAATTTGACTTTTTATGGATCAAATTACACATTTGTCCTTAGTAAAAAACATTATCCATAAAATCTTTGGGTTAAACAATTACTTATGTAAGGGTATATCCGGTTATTCAAGGTAAAATATAGTTAAGTTTGACTAAAAATAAAATCTTTCATTTTAGTGAAACTGGACAATAATTATGGGACGGAGGGAGTATACATTAAGGGAAAAGAAAATTATGTAGTCCTGTCAATGATACGGATTGAATTAACAGTTCAAATCCTTGACTAAAATCTATATTAAAAACGTTATACCACATCTCCGCTAACGAAAATTGTAGATATTTGTTTCAACAACCACAACCGTGTGTAAAAGTCTCCTAAAAATGAAAATGGATTACGAGTGGTGTGTGTAAAAAGGAATGGACTCACCAACTAAGTAAAAGGTTAGTCCACGAAATATTAAGTTAGCTAGCTCCTAGTCTCAGTATTGGTCACCCGTCCCACCATGAATGGGGAAAAAAAAGGGGTAAAAATTCCCACCTTGGTCTCGATATTTTTAATTTGACTCCAAAGCTTTATATTAACGTTTTTATTTTTATTTAAAAAAAAAACGTGAGAGGACAAAAAATTGATCTTTGGGCTCTGAATTGTATATTATGAACTCTCACAGCATCTTTGAATTGATGTGTGATAAGGTATAGAATCAAAATTTAATATTTTACCCCTGATCGTAATATATAAATCTTACTGAGGTTAATGAAAATTAATGAATAATGATGCACTTACTGAAAATTATGTAGTGAAGATCCAGACATAAAGGCAAAGTCACTTATTGCACAACTTTTCAGAAAATACAAATAATTACAAAAGAAAATCTCCTCTTATCAAGTCATCACCGTTATTGCTGTCATTGTCTAACGCTCTAAATAATTATGCAATCGATATCACTTGTTTCTTCCTTAGAAAAACCTCCTATGTAATATACCTTCGGGATTTAATTTTTTTGTGGGGTATTTTTTCATAGGAACCAAAAAATGGTATAAGACTAGCTACTCAATAAAATCACATAACGCGATAAATGATATTTAGATGTCCTAACAAAAAAAATTTAAATGTGTATATGACGTAAAGCATATTAAGCATATTTTTATCCATGTAATATCATTTATTTCCTCAGTTACCGTTATATATATTGTATCTATTTATATACAATGATAGTAGAAAAATTAAAAAAAAAAAAAAGGTTAACCGAAAAAAAGAAGAAGATATATAGACGAAAAAATAATGCAAGAGTAACGTAAAATACTAGTACTAGTATAAAAGTAGAAAATTCAAAACGGACCTGTCCAAGTGTAGCATTAGGAAGCTTAGCACGAACGGTGTCTTCGAGCTCCTTGCCCATGGGTGCACCCCCGGACATAATCATCCTTATTGACGACAGATCATATTTATCCACCACCGGACTTTTGGCGACATCCAACACCAACGGCGGCGCAAACGGCGCAATGGTCACTTTATACTTTTGTACAAGTTCCAACAGCAAATTAATCTCGTATTTCTGCATAATCAATATCGTCGCCCCAACTCTAACTCCACAAAGCAACACCGAATTCAACGAATATATATGGAACAAAGGCAACAAACATAAAATCACATCGTCGCTGGAGAAATAAAGATTGGGATTTTCGCCGTCAACTTGTTGTGCCACGCTAGTGACCAACCCTTTGTGCGTCAGCATAACTCCCTTCGGTAGCCCCGTCGTGCCGGACGAATACGGCAGCGCCACCACGTCCTTCGGGTTGATCTTCACGGCCGGGATGTCGTTCTCATCCGCGGAGGTCAATTCCGAGAAATGTAGGCAGCCGTCCGGGAGAGGGGCAGAATCGTCATTTTTCGCGTCGGTGCACATGATTTTAACGTTGTTATGTGTCGCAAAGTCTTTAACTTTGTCGACGTAACATGATTGCGTAATGATGAGTTTTGCCTTGGATGCTTTGGCTTGCTTTTCGATTTCGGCTGGCTTGTAGAATGGATTGGCGGTCGTACTCATTGCCCCACGAAACGACGCCCCGAAGAATGCAAACACAAATTCCGGGGAATTTTGTAGCAATAGCATGATGACGTCGCCTTGTTGGATCCCGATTTTGTCCAGCCCCGCGGCCACTTTCCGGGAAATGAGCTCCACTTCCGTGTAAGTGTATGACTCGCCGGTGGCGCCGTTGATTAGGCACGGCCGGTCGGCGAATTGGGAAATGTTCTCGAAGCAATACGAATGTAGCGGGAGATGAGAAGGGATGTAAATATCCGGCAGCTTTGATCGGAAAATGAATTCATCTTTCGTCTGATTTTGTTTAGCCTCCATTTTTTTCTTTTTCTCTTTTTGGAGTGAGGAGAAAAATGAGGAAATTAAGGGTGGAGTGATGGAAATGGTTTAATTCTTTTAGGTTGGAGACTCTTTCTTTCTGGTTGGATTTTGGGTGTTGAGGTTGGTGATAATATAGTACTCATGAAGGCGGGGAGTAGGTGAAGGTAGGGGGAGCTGGTTTTTAAATTAATTTTTTATTTTCTTTTTGGTTGTGGAGCTAAATTCGGACAAATTTATTTTTATTCACATTAATTAGGAATAATTAGGACATTTTCTTTGAAAAGTATGTAGGAATCTACTGTCTATGTACACGTTCCTTGTTATAGTGGCTTATACTAGTAGTATTCAGAGAAAAAATAAATTAACATCGACTTTGTGGAAAGAAATTCATTTAGAAATATTTTTAATTGTTGGATGTTTCACACATGCAAATGATAAATCAGGTACTCTCTCTGTTCAAAATTATTGTCCACTTAGAAATTTTATTTTTAATACAATTTTATTTGAACTAAAAATAAAAACTCAAACTGGATAATAATTTTGAGTCGATGGGAGTACAATTTGTTTAACAATCAAGGTCCATACGTAATGGCTACATATCAAAATTTTGAACATTTAAGCTAAAAAGATCATAGAGACACTGTGGTTAAATGGTAATTAATTATGCTTTACGCACTGACCTTATTTAATTTTTTAGATTTATCAATTGAAAAAGGGAAACACATTTATATAATAGCAAAAAATTCGTTAAGCTTAAGGAATGGCCTTTGAAAATAAGTATTACCTCCGTCCCAAAAAAATAGTCCACGTTGAGTTTTGAATTTTGTACTATTTTTAGTACAAATCTGAAAACTCAATATGGACTATTTTTTTAGGTAATACTCCCTACGATCCTTATTATAAGTCATTTTGATTTCGTTCTAGGTTTAACCTAGGATGTCTTTTTAATTGGAAAAAAAAAATTAAACATATATTTTCACATTCATTGTGTTTTTTTAATTATTATGAAATATTTTTAAGATTTTTGTTCCAATTAAAAAGATATCATAAGTGAAATCTAGGACGAAATCAAAATGCCTTATAATAAGGACTAGTTTTGAAATCAATGATAATCATATTTGTAAGTTAAGAGGTCAAAGAAATGGATTAAGCATTTTTACAAATCATTTTAATTATAATCGATTGGCTGGCATCAAAGGGTAAATGCTAATGAACGGCATATGGTAAACTATTTTATCTTGATAGTTGATTGGTAAATACGCGGTGTTTGGGAGATTAAATATTTAAACATCTTCAAAAGGACACTGTTATCATTTGCAACAAACAGTCCAATTAGTACTAAAGCGCATACCAAATGATTACATTTTATCCTTTTCTTAATATTAATAAAATAAATTAATGATCTGAGACATATTTACCCAAAATGTCCTTTTACCCATAACAAATTAATTCCACTCGTGAATCTTTCAAATTATTCCAGCAAGGGTAATTGCGTATGCAGTAGATTGACTACACTAAGGTTACGTATTTTTATCTATTACATTGTGCCTCTAAAATTTCCAGCAAATTAGTACTACCTACCATTAAGACATTAACAGATCATTTGTACATTGAATTTGGTTTACTCGATGAAAGATAACACCTTGAACTAAAATGTATCTTTTGTATCTCAGAAAAAAGGGGGCTGGCTTGTTTTAGTACGATTTCCATCATTTAAAGGGAAATATTTGAGTAAATTAATAGTATTTCAATGTTGCAACCACCAAGTCAAATGAGTGTAAAATATTTTCTCAAAATTGAGACACGCAATAAATTAAATTCAACAATCAAATTGACTTTGAAGATTTCAGTGACACACTTATGCATGAGGATTTTCTTCACCTACCAAAAACGTAGATATAGACCCATAAAACACACCAAAATCAAGATTAAAAAAAAAAGTTTATTAATTTTGCCTTATAATTTTCGTCTTTCATTTCCTTACTAAATTGTATATCACTGGTTCACCAACCATCTAATTTGTATTTTTGTCTGTCGTGGCATGAGGTTTGCTTTGTCATGCGCTCAAATTGTTGAGTACTGTATACTATATAGTTTACAGAAACCAAGATCCGTGGTTGGTAAAAAGTAGCCATTCGATTGAGTGCAAAATTTGAAAATCGATAATTTCGCAAGATTTTTTCCTCTATTATTTAATTATTCATTAAGATTTTACTTTATAATAATCAGATTGCTATATATCCTCTTTATTCTCCTTTTTCTCTTTGACACCAAAACACATTTAATCAGATAGAGTGAGTATAATAGGTGTCCATTTTAATAGCTAAAAGAAAAAACTAATATCGTTGTAAATATAAGTAGCCGGTAATTGCTAGGTAGGAAAGAAAAGTCACAATAGGTTAATTTAATGTTTCACCCTTATAACTAACATCTTCTTCTTCTTCTCTGTATTTGCTGGAATACTTTAATGGTTGTTGCGTTCGGTAGGTAAAATAGTCTCATAGTCTTCTCATTTACCTGTTTTCTGAGTCAGATTTAACAATATCACTATAATTTAGTTCCAACAATTTTACCGTTTCTTTGCCTAAACAAATTCATCTAACTCAGTAATTAATACCCGAAATTATATTCATGTGCATGTAAAAAATTAATAAAACGATATGAGAATTAATAAAGAGAACTGAAACAAAAAAAAAAAAAAAAAAAAAACCCCACCAGAATTAAGAATCTTAGCGAGGGCCTTTGAACTGTTTGGATGATGCCAAATTATGGACAAGAAACTTCAATGGAACTTCTGTTAATTTTTGGAAACCCTTGTTTTTCATATGATCATGACTTTTGTATACTTTATCCAAAAAAAAAAGAAAAAAAAGGTGCCACATAAAAAGAATATTCTTTCTCACTCAATTAAGTGAATATGTACATTTACAAGATTACACACAGTGCTCTTGACTTGTACAATTATGCCATTCACATGTGTTTAACATATGCTTCAATACGGCCACACAGCCGAAACGCTAGCGATAGCATGTTTCGAATCGATCCAACAAAATGGCAAAAAAGGGTGGCTGCAGGGTTATTCTGTATTATTTAACATTCCTTGGGAGAGAATCATGCAGCTCTAGAGTTATTATACCAAAAGTATTGAATTTTTCAATTATCGATATTAGTTTGTGTGTAAATACAGATCAATTATTGATATTAGTTTGTGTGTAATATGTATTTACTAAGATTATCTGTTATTTACACATTCAAACGGAAGCCTAGCTCCTTGATGATTTACGAATGGCGTATTTTCTTGTTGGATTCTTCTATATCTAGTTTAGTGTAGGAAAATAAATGGACCATTTGATCATGCATAATACATAAAGTCCGAAATTGGCAAGTTAACTAAACTCAATCATTTTAGCAACATCTGCGATGAACCAAGCTAGAATTAACTCGATCTTGTTCCGTTGGACATGGAGAACGTCCATTATCATTGGTCATAGCATAAAAAGAGGACCCCATTTACCTACCACTCGGATGTGAAACGAAATCCACTAGGATGATACAGATTGCGAACATTTTTTTATAAGAAAACTTTAAGGTTTTGTGGAAATTGGCGTCATGCTGACCGTTGATTTACATGAATCATGTTAGCCTCTAAAAAAAATAAAGAAAAAAAATTACATGAATCATGACCGATCTTGTTGTTTATGTGTTTTTTTGGGATATGTATGTCTTCATAAAAAAAAATTCTCTTTCTAATCTCAACCACACATCAATATCGTTGTTGGTAGGCAATTTTTTCTACAAGGCAGAGTAATCGATTTCTTGCATTTTGGGAAATAACAACAGACTGTAGATTTGACAATTGGATCATCTAAAAGAATAAAGATAGTTATAAGAAATCGAATATTTATTTTGAAATGGAGAAAATTAAAAAAAAAAAACAGGTTGTGATTGTTAACAATTATGTTATGCTTAAAAAATGTGCATGTCTTTGTTTTCGTCTTGTTTGTTAACATAATCATATAGTCAATGCTGATTGAAAGCTGGAATGTTTCAAAATTACCTGGATGCGACCCATGCCCATCGACCTTAATGTAGTCAACAGCAAACCCATCTAAACCCAGATTTAAGCGTTAATAGTGATTTCAATTCAAATTTTGCTGGTTGCGGCTGTCAGGTAGGACGAAATTACGAGAAAATAAACTCAACTTGGGCAGGAAAGTAGGTGAAAAAGTTGCGATTAGTAAAAGACTTTAACCATACACTTTGAAATTCCAATCATTACTTTTCCAATGATGGCAACTATTCGAACCAAAATTTTGACTGAACTTGTAAGTTGGTAAGGTTAAGTTCTTTGACCTTATAAATCTGACTGCCACCAAACACTACCGATGTATCTGAGTGAGTAAAGGTTTGTGGCCAAGAAAGGGGCATGCCCACCGGTTTAGGCTTTGGCATCCAATCTGTGAAACTTAGGTTTGAACTCCGCTAATAACACTTTTAGTGTTGATTTTAAGCAGATTTGTTTGCACTTGCCAAGAAGCTTTCTGCGTACTAGATCAAAGTGTGCGCATGTGGAGTCTCTCTTTTAACAGTACGATTCTACTTCCTATAGACCCCACCCACATTTAATAGATTATGTACTTGTAATTGTAATTGTGTGTAAAAAAAAAAAAAAAAAAGAGTAAAGGTCTGTGAATTGAAATGTATTTGCTTAAAATTTTCTTTTACATAGTTTTGCTTGAAGATATAGTAGTTGAATGGGAAGAGACTCATGTCTCCTTAATTAATGTGGGGTGTTCGCCAAATGAACCTCGATTGGACAAATAGCGGAAACAAAAATTCAGAATAAGTTATCTCATCCATCAAAAACCTTGCAATTTAGGGAAAGACTTGAGTGTTCTATATATGCAACAATTTTTCAAAAATTGTCTCGTGGTTCTGTCAAGTAAAAAAATAATAAAATTAAAGAAATTATTGATTTGGATCAAAATTAAAATTAGAAACTAAAAATAAACATATTTGAGATGTTTAATAAAGCTACTTGGATAATTGATGAAGATTTTTATTTCACAATTAAAATTAAAGTAACAAATATACCTGAAATGATTCGACATT